AGCTCTACCCCTCTGACAAGAGGTAGGAACACGGTGAAGACACAGCAGCTGGTGCCGGATGACGTGTTAAATGATATCACAAGAGTTGCCCGGCTGTCATTGGCCTGCTTGCAGGGATGGATGACTATATGTGGGGGGGGGGATGTCTTGTTGCCACCTAATGGTTTTACCAAGGATGTGCTTAGTTGTTTTTTTTGTCCCACCATAAATAGCAGAGATTGTAAATCCCATTTGATTTGCTTATTAAAACGTATCCTTACATGATAATATACTAATAAATAATAATAATATTAAATGGCTATTTATGTGGAAAATAAAAAATCCAACCAAAGCAGGATCTTTAGTGAAGCACGAGTTTTCACTAGGAGATGTAGCTCCATCTAGTGGTGAGATAGAGTCACCACAGCCTGCACACTGCATGTGTAAACACCATAGACTGAATATAAAGTGGCCTTATACAAAGCAAAAGATGAATCCGTTGACGTTCCTTGTTTAATCGTGAAATCAAATATCTGACTCTGTCCTCCTTTCTCTTCCAGGACCACAGCTTTCGGCTTCCTCAACGCCCTCTGTAAACTAGCAGCCGTGCTGGGCATAAGCATCTTCACGTCGTTTGTCGGTATAACCAAGGCGGTGCCCATACTCTTTGCCTCGGGGGCGCTGGCGGCGGGCAGTTTCCTGGCCCTCAAACTACCGGAGACGCGGGGCCAGGTGCTGCAATAGTGAGTGTGGCTCCGACAACTTTTCCGGGGGGCAGAAGAGTTTTTCGCCACACTGTGAACGAACAGCTCAAGAGCCCCCTCCCAGATCCTACCTTCTAACCCCTCCCCCCATAATTATAACGTTTGTGCACAAGCAGAGGAGTGCGACATAGACCTGCTGAGCTGTAAATACTTAGGATTGGTGATTATTTGGTATGTGCCCCCTACATGTTTTAAAGATAAGTGCAGCCGTGACAAACCATCATAATGCCTGAATAAGCCTCGAGACAAATAGTTTATTATCGCTGCAGATGAAAACATGAGGCAAACAAGGTGTTGAGTTAGAGCGTATTATTTTATATCAGTGGAAAACAACGGAACTTTTAGATTTAACCCCCCGCCCCCGATATAAGTACACACAGCTGGGGTTGGAGGTGAGGTCATGGGGGCTCTTGATAAGGAGCCATGCAAATAGACTTATAAAAATGACCACTAGCCATTGTTGCAGAGTTCTCTCTCACCTCCATTCGTCTAATTACCTTTCACATCTTCAGTACTTTGCCATTGATGGACGTAGAATCAGACGTTTGACATTTATGCCTTTATTTGAAGCATTTTTGACTTCACGGGGGTAAATCCGAGACACACCTCTCTTGGTTTCCTCTTTAACAAAGACCCGTCCTCATTCTCTGTCGCCCGAGGGTCTTGTGCTGGTGAACAGAACAGTGCTGCCATTTTATAGATTTTAGAACATTCCAGGGTTGTTTGGGTGCGATGCGGAGATAAATCGAGTCCCTTTTTCCCTATACAACATTGTTTTTGATCATGTCTCTGTCATGAGGTCATTGAGATCAAACACATTTCTCACGCTGAGTCAAATCTGTGTTCTGCCATTTCATTGCAAAGGTGAAGCTTTCTGTTGAAGTTCGCACTTAAAGCACAACCATCAGCCAGAGTGACTGTCTCCCGAACATTTTCTTGATGTGATGAAAATGTTCAGAATCTCACATTGTTCCAGTCATGTTGTGTTTCCCTTTGTGAGAAATGCCTTTTTTAGTACCTCTCCTCCCAGAGGGTGTTTGTCTCTCGGAGGGTTTTCTGCATGTAAGTATGTATGTAACTAAAACTGAGAGTACAACATGTTAACAGCACCTCGGCTTACATCTCCATCAGATTTCTGATCCATGAGAGACTGCACAGTGCTTTAAAACTAACAGTGACACCACGGTGAACCTTTCCCCTCTCTCCTCAGAGCACACTGCACAAGATAGGTTCACATATTAGAGTAAAAATAAATAAATGCAATCAAAAGCGTAAAAACAAGTGACACAGAAAAGCTCCGCCTTTAGTTTGAGTGGTTTTGGTGCAGGCCCAACGTGTGGTGAGTGTGTAAGATCTAAATCTAATTCTTTGTGTGAACTGAATGTTTATATTAATGTGACTGTGCTTCTTAGTGCAATATTGAACCTCTCTGCAATATTGAGATTTTATTCTATTTATGAGTTCATTTATTTTTTTGTGTCTTTTAGCATTTCACATCTGGCAAACTTTTTTTTTAACTGGTTAACGGAATGCCGGGTAGAGCTGTCATATACTGACAACTGGACATGGTGCGACGACACGCTGGACATGCACGTGTTAAAGATTACAGCTGCTTAGTGTCAGCGGAGAAAATATTGAAATTGTTGCATCCAAAGTAAAAAGCTAATTATGAACACATTGAATCGTGGTTAATTGCAGTCGAGAAAGATTATTCTGATAAGGAGGGTATGAATTTGGACGTTGTGTTTATTTGTGCTTCTTTTTTTTTTTATACAAATGTAGCTACAACATGAGATTCACCTTCGAGAACTCACTGCCAAGGGCTGATTGTCATATACCCCCCCCCCACAAACAGGTAACAGCACAGAGTGGCAGCGGAAGAGTAACGCCACATTACCCCCGATCTAGACAAGTAAGCGTGATATGTTCACAATTGCATGGCGAGAGACAAGAAAAACAATCATTGAAATGTCCGATTAATTAAACCGTTTTTTTTCCAAACTGCCATTTTGTAGGATAGCAGCCATACATAGACTCGAGACAGTTGAAGTAAATAGACAACCCATTGCACTAAGAGTACACTGTCGTACATGCACAATTGTGAATGCCTTGCTCAAGGCACAGTTGTCATGCCTTGTTCTTCTAGACACATCCTGAAGCAGCCTTGCTAGAGGTTTAAAGACGAACCACGTGAGGGTTCAGCAAGAGCACAAAGACCAAAATCTACCAAATGACGATATATAGGGAGCGTGAGTGCAGTTGTGAACATAGGTGCTTCGAGCTTTGATGACCTGCCCCTGACATTTCACCGTCTAATTTCAATTTCGACATCCGACCCATTGTCCATGAGTGTGCCATGAGTTCCACCTCTCATGAATTATTGCCAAATATTTTGTATGGCCTGAGTTTACACATCACAACATCAGTTCTCTGTAATAGCGATGAATATATGTAAATAAAAAGAAATTTAAAAAATAACTAGAACTAATAAGATAGCTATTCAAACCTTCTGACCCCTGGAAACAGACTATATTACTGTCAGTCCTTGTAGGTTTTCAACCATCGTTTGTGTGAAACACGAGCAGCTGGACTTATTATTCTCTGACTTTATTTTTCCAACAACTCATCTCAAGAGTTGTCTTTAAGAGTCCAGATGCTCTTTGTTTTAAAACGTCAAGAAATAACGGCTTCAGGAGCCAAAGTGCCCGGCAAGTCAGAGAGCGAAATTCGCCCAGATCCCCTCTTCAAAGCACATCGATAATATATTTAATGCTCATTAACTGTACAAATAGAAAAGCTATGAGCATCGGCAGTCCTACTCTGTGTGTGTTGTCCTGTATCACCCATGGAGTTAAGAACAACGATGTCAAGGTAACTGTTGTGTTCGTTCAATATGGAAAGCTGTTTAAAACGCTAAACCTGTCTCAGTGACTCCGTTCAGGCTCCGTCCAAGTCAAGATTATCTCTCGCAGATACATATCTTAGCTTATGTTACAGGGTCTTTTTTGTATAATTAACTTGTTGCCTGAGCAACAGTCAATTGTGAGTGCAAAAAGTTAACAAAGCAATAAGTGTTTGGATATTTGTCTCTTATTCTCTCCTCTGAAGCTATTTGGGAATTGGAGCACATTACTATATTCCAGCCTTGTCCATTAAAATGCTGAGTGTTGGCTCAATAATCACACGGGACTAAACAGCGGACATTTTAGTGTACCCTCGAAAAACAACCCAAGGGTTCTGAGGCTTTTGTCAATAAGATTGCATTGCCATTAATTAAATGTAACAAAACAATTTATCACCTTCGTCATTGTATCGTGCTGTAGAAACCGTAGTTGACTGTTTGTAAGTATAGAAACTGTGTGTGGAACCATGAATACAAAAGAAAATGTTATAAAAAAGGAAGTGTAAATGAACAATGCTGTATGTTGTCTTTGATTTTGTGCATTTTGTAAATGAGAATGAAATATAAGTAAATACATCAATGTGACATACCAGTTATGGATCATAGTTAGCCTAAATGTGACGACACCAGTTCTGTTTAAAAGGTGTGTGAGACTTTTTTCTTATATTTTCGTCATTGTTGATTTTGGATTGGGTTTGCGCTTTGTTGTGCAACTGACCCCTTGGAATCACAATGATTAACAAAGAA